GCTAAAAGAACTAACAGATCTGTCCTGGAGGAAGTGCACCCAAAATGCTCCTTGGAGGCGAGAATGGCCAGACTTCATCTCACCTATTTTGGTCATGTTGTCAGAGGGGACCATTCCTTGGAGAAAGAGGGGGAGGCCTTCAATGAGATGGATTGACACGGTGGCTGTGATGATGGGTTCAAGTATAGCAGGGACTGTGGAGCTGGCGCGGGATTGGGCAGTGTTTTGTTCTGCTGTGCATGGGGTCACTATGAGTTGGAAATGACTCGACGGCACCTAACAACAACAACAACAACATCTGGGGTAGAAATGCAAATTTTCAGCAGGGGCTGGAACTGAAATGAACAGGTTCAAAGCACTGATTCGGACAGATTTGAATCTGATTTAGTCTGCCTTATTTCTAATCCTTTCAGGAGGACAATAGAAAGAGGTGTTGAGTTGTTTTTTGACCACTCTGTAGTTTTGAAGTTATTTGTTTGCAAGGAATAGCAAATACAGAATATATTTTTAAACTTTAATTTTTGAACGTACTCCCCAAATCAAGGTTTGGAGGTAAATTTTTCAATTTATGTTGAATTTTCCTTGGGGATATGAGGAATATTGAACAAAATAGCACACACTTCACAATTATGAAGCAACTGGAAATCATTATAGAAGGGGTGGGGAATACTTTAAGCATATTGTGAACTGATTCACATATTGTGAAGTTGATTATGCATCCCCCTGCCTTTCACCAAAAGAGAAGGGCCAAGGGTTTATTTGTGGAAAATCCTGATACTTTTTACTTTCCCAAAAGAATGGTTAAAAAAAAAAACATGAGATAGTCTTGAAATAGCTATTACCATTAACTAAAGTATTAGTATGTCCCTTTTCCCATTCAAAACTCAGATGACTCTTTCTAAGAAGCAATTTTCCAGAATATTTATTTTGAGTCATATTCCCATATTAGTGTTCTCAAATTAGTGAGCTGTCATTCCAAGCTGACGAATCTCACCTGTCAGTCCTCAAGTGGAGGGCTCCAGCAGCCCAGAGCTGCCCCACACCTGTAGCCCACTAGCCTGCCTCCACTTCATTCCCCTTGGGACTTACCGAGCAACTAGCTGCTGGCAGATATGCGCCCTCTCCCACTGTTCAGTGTGGGATAAAGGCAAGCTGGAGATAATCATTGTCTGCATTTTTTCCTCCTTATGTAGTTTGCCATATTGAGAAGGAAAACAATTTAATAGTCAAACTCTAATTGGTTTCCCCTCAGTCGGGGGCTTCAGCATTGAGCAAGATGAAAAGTAGATGAATGTACATAACTTTTCCAACCAAGGAGATCAGGAGGGCCCTGTGTGATGAACATATCGGCCTTGAGCCTGAGTTGAGGGTGTAGAATGGGGGGATTGCCCTCTCTCATTTGTGAAGATTTCAGCATAGCCACTTCCTGCCAGCACTATACATTTAATGTCTGATTTATTGTGGATCCTCAAAATGTTTTTTGTTCCTTTAAGCACTTCTATTAAACTACAATGGTCTAAAGATTCTGGGTATTAATATTCATTTGTGGTGTTGTCATTGTTATGTGCCATCGAG